AAAAGAAGAAAAAAAATTGGTTTCTTAGTTAAAAGGCGAAAAAAGAAAAAAAAATTTGCAGTAGTGAAGGTCTTTCGGTTCTTCTCTTCAGCCTGGCCTCTGGGTGGCAGTGTTTTGGGGTTGGCCTCTGAGGCTATACGGCTTCTCTACTTAAAACTGGTTTGGGGAGGTCAACTGCCCAGAGCTGGTTTTTTAATCGTTACCCTGCTCTGCGTTGTTGGTGGGACTGCCCAAAATGTACAAGTTCTGAACACACACCCTGGGCGACGTGCTGTGCTCTTGGGCTGGGCCCTGTAACCCCACCTACTGAGCTGCAGGGGGAGGGAGCACTGCTTTCTGTGGGCTCCAGAGATGGCCTCATCAGCCTGGCCCTAAAAGAGTGAGTGTGCGTCCCCCCCCAGACCCTTCACTCCTCCCAAAGCCTGGGACCCTCTGGCCAGAGCGGCCCGTTCCTCTGCCTTTCTTGAATGCGCTTGCTGGCTCCCTATGACCCCCTCCTTGAAGTTCACACCTTCCTGCATTAAGACCCTCTAAGCCAGCGGTTCTCAACCTGTGGGTCGCGACCCCTTTGGGGGTCGAACGACCCTTTCACAGGGGTCGCCTAAGACCATCGGAAAACATGTATAATTACATATTGTTTTTGTGATTAATCACTGCTTTAATTCTGTTCAATTTGTAACAATGAAAATACATCCTGCATATCAGATATTTACATGACGATTCATAACAGTAGCAACATTACAGTTATGAAGTAGCAACGAAAATAATTTTATGGTTGGGGGTCACCACAACATGAGGAACTGTATTAAAGGGTCGCGGCATTAGGAAGGTTGAGAACCACTGCTCTAAGCCATTGTTGGCTGGGCTTTCCTAAGTACAGGACCCGCTGCCCCACCTCCTCCAGTAGAGTTCATGGGCAGCATGCCTTTTTGGCTTAGAGACCCAAGGTTCCCAGCACCACCCTTGACCCGACCTGGCGAGGAAAGAGCTGGCTATGCTGCTCTGATGCTCCAAACTGCCCTGCATTTTGGACGATGGGATTTGCTTTAGAGAGTTGTTCTGTTTTTTTTCCCTTTTCAATGTGGCTGCTCACAGCACGTCACCATCGCCCAAACCCTAGCCCAGCCGTGGGCAAACTACGGCCCACGGTTCGGAAATGAATAAAACTAAAAAAAAAAAAAAAAAAGATCGTACCCTTTTATGTAATGGTGTTTACTTTGAATTTATATTAGTTCACACAAACACTCCATCCATGCTTTTGTTCCGGCCCTCCGGTCCAGTTTAAGAACCCATTGTGGCCCTCGAGTCAAAAAGTTTGCCCACCCCTGGCCTAGCCCCATCTCCTCCCCCCGTGTTACTTCTGTGTCAGAGGCTTACAGACTTACAGAGTCCATTATGTGCCAGCCGCTCTTGGAGGGCGCGCTGTTATGTCCATCTTACAGAGAAGAAAACCGAGGCTCAGAGAAGGGCAGGCCAGCTCTGGCGGCCAGGAGTCTGAGATCATGATGTTGATATGTTTGGTGTGTCCCGAGGCCTCTTTGCTTGGCTTGCCTTCTCCCTGTGTCCTCACATGGTCTCCCGTATGTGTGAGCACATGCCTGGTGTCTCTTTGTGTCCAAATTTCCTCTTCTTATAAGGACACCAGTTAGATTGGATCCTAAGGTACTGGGCGTTAAGGCTTCAGCATGGGAATTTGAGGTTAGGGGACACAATTCGGCCCACGACAGTAATTCAGAGCCAGTCTTCGGACTAGGTCTGTTGATTCTAACCCGCATTTTGCTGTGAGCTAAGAAACCAGACACCACACATGCTCTGACCAGGAAGGACACGGCTTTTGTACCAGTTGGCACTGCTCTGGGGCTTTCTCGGCATCCTTCCTGGTCCTGTGCTCGGGTCCAGACAACCGAAGCCTAGAAGCCATGTCTATGCACATAAAGGCCCACAGAGCACCCAAGTCAGAAAGACTTGTTGGGTCACCTCAGTTTCCCCAACCTCACAAAAGGTTAAAGGCATTGGTTAAAGGTTAAAGGTTAAAGGTTAAAGGACTGGTTAAAGGCATTCTACTCTTACAAGGCTATTGTGAGAGTTAAATGCGAACCTGGCTGTAGAGAGCGTAGCACGGTGCCTGGCACACAGACGGTGCTCCTGGTGCAAAGCGAAGGTCGCTAATTAGCTTAGCTTTTGCCACACCAGCTGAGCCCTTGGCCTGACCTTGTATAGAGTGGAGTAAGTCGATGGGACCACACCCCTCCACTTTCACTCTTTCAGATCCTTTGTCCCGCCACCTGGCCATGCTAGTAGAGGACACTGGGCAAGAGGGTGGCTGGAGGGGAGGGGAGGAATGGTGGAAACAGAAATTTCCCCCCTCACGTCACCCCACTCCGGCCCAGCCTTCCACAGTTACTTTGAGATCTTCAATGGCCCTGGCGTGGTGGACGCACGCAGCCTGCAGAACGTCCTGCTCCTTGTGGGCATCTCCCTGACGCCGGCCCAGGTGGAGGATGCCCTGATGAGTGCTGACATTGATGGTGAGTGACGGGGGCTTCCTTCCAAGTCCCAGGCAGGGCCAGTCCCACGGGCCCTGGGAGACCTGTGCAGTCCAGTTAGTGGCACAGGACTCTGGTGTGAAAGGCCCTGCCCCTGGTTTAATGCACTGCTGTCACAGTCTAGAATTTTATTTAAATTTTTATTTATTGATTTGAGAGAGAGAGAGAAACATCAATTTGTTGTTCCACTTAAGTATGCACTTATTGGTGGATTCTTGTATGTGCCCTGACCAGGGATGGAACCTACAGCCTTGGTGTATTGGGGACAATGCTCTAACCAACTGAGCTACCCCGCCAGGGCCAGTCTAGAAATTCTTAATAATGACAATGCTCTAACCAACTGAGCTACCCAGCCAGGGCCAGTCTAGAAATTCTTAATAATATTTTCTGCCTTTTCATTTTGCACTGGACCTGAAAGGTAATACTCCCTGAGCGCCTACCTGCTCAGTGCCAGGTTCTGGTGACTGAGATGACCAAGACCTACCTCCTCACCCCAAGATGTACGGTGACCTCTGAGATCCCTTCCTTTTGGGCCCTTGTGTGTGCTTCATCGGATATTCCCCTGTGATTTGTTCACTCATTTTACCAACTGGATGATCTTGGATGAGTCAATGAAGTTCACCAAGCCTCAGTTTCCCCATCTGTACAATGGAGCTGATGGTGATACCCATCTGTGCTGGAAAGATTTAATGAGATAATCCAGGCAAAGCATTGAGCAGACACCTGGTACAGAGACTGTGTCCAGAAGGCATTAGCTGCTAGTGTTACACATGGTTTGATTGGCTAGACGCAGGACGTGGGGAGCAGTGGGCTGTGGAGGGCCTGGGCTTCTGACCACAGCTTCCTCCATCACTGCACAAATGCAAATCTTCACGCTCAAGCCAGGAATTGACCCCAGCTCGGCCCCTATGTGACCCTTGGCAACAGGCTTCTTTTCTCTGTGCATCAGGCCTCATCTGTGACATGGGAATAGGTATTGAGCACCCCCAGAGGGGGCCTTTAAGGCGTGGAGATTATTCATTCATTCGTCAGGTAGTTCAGAGAACAGTTGCTAAGACCTACGTGTCTTAAGCCCAGAAGACACAGTGCTGAACACAACAGGCCCAGTTCCTGCCTCCCAGAAAGAACCTCCATTACATTCCAGATCTTCCGAGTGTGTGGTTGAAGTATGGGGGTTTTTAGGAGAGTGTTTGAGGGGATCTGACCTGGGTAGACCTGACTTCTCTGAGGATAGGATGGTCAAGGGAAAGTATTAAGTAAAGGAGCTGGAGGGGGTGGAGAAAATTCTAGGACGAGGAAGCAGCCTGGGAAGGATGTGGCCCCTGGTGGGAGAGCAGGTTAGTGCTGGAGGGTCTGGGCACTAGGGGAGGTTGGAGACAGGTCTAGCGGGGCCCTGAAGGCCAAAGTGGGAATATGTGTGCATATGTATTCTCATGCAGTGACTATCAAATGGTAATAATAATAGTTGCTGATGCCCTAGCTGGTTTGACTCAGTGGATAGAGCACTGGCCTACGGACTGAAGGGTCCAGGGTTCGCTTCCGGTCAAGGGCACATGCCTGGGTTGTGGGTTTGATCCCCGGTGGGGGAGGGGGGTGCAAGAGGTAGCCGATCAATGATTCTCTTTCATCATTGATGTTTCTCTTTCTCCCTTCCTCTCTGAAATCAATAAAAAATATATATTTTTAAAAATAACCAATGATTTAAAAAATAAGTTGCTGACATTTAGTGAGCATGTATTATATGCATGGCCTGTTCTAAGCCCTTTGCCTCATTTTATCTCCCATGAGATAGGTATTATAGTTATCCTCACCTCTAGTTGGGAAAACTAAGGCTTAGTGATGCTAAGAGACTTTGCCAAGATCACATGAATAGTCAGTGGTGGACCTGGGATATGAACTCGGATTACTGCCTCTAGGATTCAAGTTCTGGGAGCTTGTAACTCAGGAGATTGTAATTTTTGCCTTCTACTCTCCTGGGTGCACCATGCTTTTTGCATTGACTATACATTACCTTAAAAAAATGTTTTTATTCATTTCAGAGAGAGGAAGGGAGAGGGAGAGAGATAGATACATCAATGATGAGAGAGAATTACATTGATTAGTTGGTTGCCTCCTGCACACCCCCTATTGGGAATCAAGCCTGCAACCCAGGCATGTGCCCTGACTGGGAATCAAACTGTGACCTCCTGGTTCATGGATTAACGCTCAACCACTGAGCCACACCAGCTGGTCACCTATACGTTACTTTTATAATCAGACTCAATGAGTAAATACTAATAATCATGCCCGGGTTGCCATGCCTGGAGCCGCTCGGAAGGCCCGTGCCCACCCTGTCTTCTTCCGGCCTCCACAGGAGATGGTCATGTGGGCTTCAAAGATTTCTTGGCCGTAATGACAGACACCAAGCGCTTCTTCTGCTCCGTGGGTGAGCAGGGATGAACCAGGGAACAGGTGGGTGGGGTGGGGTGCACCCGGGGTGAGCAAATGGTAATGGCAGCCACCATCCCATGTCCCCAGAACAGAATGCCCTGACGGCTCCCCCGAACCCCCACACTCTGCTCTTTGAGATCCTGTCCCTGCTGGTGGAGATGCTGGCCTTACCTGAGGCAGCCTTAGAAGAGATCACCAAGTGAGTAGGGCTGGCTGTGGGGAGGGGGAGGGCTGGGGACACAGAAATAGCACCTAGTGTTTTGGCACCTGTTCATTTATTTTTTTTTTAATGAAAAATAACTGTTTTCCAAAACAACAAAACAGGTCCGTAAGAAGAATGACATTTTTTTACAATATTGCAAATCTCTTAACATCGGGCATAAGAGAGCTGGATTCTCGTATCTACTTCTGCATTCAATCTGTTGCAATATGTTGTTTTACTTGAAGTATATGAACAAATCTGGCCTCACATACATATGTAATTGGAGAGGAATATTTTAATAGCCTTTTCATTTAATAGCCACAAACGATGTGGATATTTTTCTTTGAGATTACACCAAATTTGACAAATGGTAGTGTCTTAAAGGTTGCTTGCAATATGAAATCTGAAATCAGAACAATGAAGTTTTCGGACTCTTGTAAATAAAAATCTATTGGTCAGCCTTGTAGTTTGAATGGGTCTTTTCCCATGAATGCTTTTGTAATATGCACTAGTCATTTGGAAAATACTGTGTACCTTCCAAATGTTGACATATTTCATTCATTTTTGCTGTTACCTGGGTATGTGTCCTGACTGGGAATTGCACCAGTGACCTCTTGGTTCCTAGGTCAATGCTCAACTGCTGAGCCACACTGGCCGGGCCAAACCTCCAGCCATTTAAAAAAAAAAATCACAGGATGAAATGTACAGCATAGGGAAAATAGTCAATATTAGCATAATAACTTTGTATGGTGACAGATGGTTACTTGACTGATTGTGGTGATCACATCGTAAGGAATATAAATACTGAACCACTATGTTGTACACCTGAAACTAATTATTATATGTCAACTACACTTTTGATGTTGTTGTTAATCCTCACCTGAGGATATTTTTTCTACTGATTTTTAGAGAGAGTAGAAGGGAGAAAGGGAGAGAGAAACATTGATGTGAAAAAGAGATGCATCCATTGGTTGCTTCTTCCCACATGTGCCCTGACCGGGGCTGGGGATCAAATGTACAACTCGCGTAACGTTCCCTTGACCAGGAATTGAACCCGAGACCTTTTGGTGTGCTGGCAATGCTCTAACAGACATTGAGCTACACCAACCAGGGTGTACTATACTTTATTCTTCATCATCATCATCATCATCATCATCATCATCATCTTGCTATCAGATGTAGGCTGCAGTACATATAGACTTGGGTGAATTCCACTTTTCTCAAGGTCCCCAAAAGTGTCCTGAGATTTTTCAGCTTGCCAGGAAGTGACCTTTACTGACCTATAAGACCAGGAACTCTGAAATTCAGGTACCAGGAAGTATTTTAAGCTGTACTTTCTAAGCAGTGCCTCCATAAAGTCAACTTTAGTTCTTTAAAACTGCCTGGTCATATCTGATCTGTTTATCATTTTCAAATATGGCATTACCACCCTAGCCAGTTTGGCTCAGTGGATAAAGTGTTGGCCTGTGGATTGAAGGATCCTGGGTTTGATTCCCGACAAGGGCACATACGTACCTCAGTTGTAGGCTTGATCCCATCCCTGGCCCTGGTTAAGGCGTGTGTGAGAGGCAACCAATCAATGTCTCTCTCTCACATCGATGTTTCTCTCTGTCTCTCTCCCTTCTTTCCACTCTCTTGAAAAAAGTCAATGGAAAAATATCCTTGGGTGAGGATTAACAACAAAAAACATGACATTAGTGTCAAAACCTTGATAATAATATTTTTCATATGTTCTATAACAAGAAGAATAGATTCTTATTAAATTTATGTAACTATATTAATATGAAAATAAAAATACTTAGGAAAATAAAAATATTCCAAAGAGTTTTTAATTCTAGAGCAGCGGTTCTCAACCTGTGGGTCGCGACCCCTTTGGCGGTCGAACGACCCTTTCACAGGGGTCGCCTAAGACCATCCTGCATATCAGATATTTACATCAATGAGAAAACCAAGGTTATATCACATATTACAGAGCAGAATCAGGACAAGTCTTAGCACTGTTATGGATAGTGTTAGTCTAGCCGTGGTTGGCAAACCACGCCTCGCGAGCCACATGCAGCTCTTTGGCCCCTTCAGTGTGGCTCTTCCACAAAATACCACATGTGGGCGTGCACGTACAGTGCGATTGAAACTTCATGGCCCATGCGCAGAAGTCCGTATTTTGTGGAAGAGCAACACTCAAGGGGCCAAAGAGCCGCATGTGGCTCTCGAGCCGCAGTTTGCCAGCCACTGTTCTAGAGGGATCAGGCAAGGAGAAAAAGTTGTTTTCATTTTGTTTACAAAGGTATAATTTACCAAATTGTTATTAGTTATAGGCAGCTTAAATGAGAAAAAGGATTTCTTAAATCTGAAAAGCAAAAGGAACCAACAATGTTTCAAACAAAAAACGTCATAAAATTATAATCGTCCTCATCAGTCATTCTCATGTAACTGATTTCTATTCTGCTTATCTGGAGTTAGCAGTTTTATGAATCCATCACCTTTTTCATCAGAATTCTGAAGATTCTCACCCAGTTCAGTGGTATGATCTTAAACTTAGCAGAGACCTATAATCCAGAGTACTTACCAGAGTCCGGCATACATTTCCTTGAAGTATTTTTACCTTTAGTTAATTGTAAAGGCTTTCAGAGAAGAATCAATAAAACAATAACTGTGAATTAGGAAAGACTTAAAATGGCCAGGTTAAAGATCTGATGAGAATTGATTGTGTCTGTGATATACAGCATTTTAAGATAACTGTAATTATGACTGATAACATTATACCAAGGCATATCAGATTTCCAGAAATTTTTATACAATTTCTAGTACACTTATGTTGACATAAAAACACCCAAACCTAGAGAATTTTTATGAGTTTATTTGAGCCAAACTGATGACATATGCCGGGGAGCAAGATCTCAAATGCTCTGTAGAATGACAAATTTGCAGCTTCTTTTATGCATTTGAAATTAAGGAGGGGACAGATTACATGAAGGTGGGAGAAAGCCAAGGCATGGATTGGCTCTCTTGACGGTAGTTAAGTCTTAGAAGGAGGGATCTGATTGGATGGTTCACCCATTAGAGTACCCCATGCATATTTTGCAACTTTCTCTCTCTTTGGTATTCTGATACACTAAAGTTGGCCTCCATCTTTCTAAACTCCTTAGGTCTGTCTGTCTCCTTACCTAATTGTCTTCTGCTTGGGATATTACTTCCTGCCCTGCAGTCTAGGAAGTACCTCCAGAAAAAATTCTAGGGAGATCCTAAGGCTCACTTCATTGGCTTCTCTCCTCTCACAGATCATTCTTGTGCTGCCTGTTGTCCAGTATCAGACAACAGCATCATATATTTTGTTCATGTATCTATTTATGGCACTAGGACAAGTTCAGTACTAGTTGTTCCATCATGGCCAGGAACAGAATTCTGTTCATTTGTCTTCCCCCCAGCCCTCTCTTCTTCAAATTGGATTTCTATTGATCTGTCTTCAAGTTTACTAATTCCTTTTTTCCGTTATCTCCAATCTGCTCTTAAGCTCATTCAATGACTTTTTCATTTTAGTTATTATACTTTCTGTTCTTGAATTTCCATTTGTTTCATGTTTATAGTTTGTTTGTCTTTTCATTCATTAAGATCACACGTTCCTTCAATTATCTGAACATATTTTTAATAGCTCCTTTAATGCTGCTTTCTACTAAATCCAACATCTGGGCCATCTCAGGATTGTTATTTATGAGTTGTTTTTCTCCTTACTATGCGCCACATTTTCCTGTTTCTTTACAGTCTGGTGATTTCTTACTTCCTAGACATTTTGAATGATATGGTTTAAAAACTAGATTCTTGCCGAAACCGGTTTGGCTCAGTGGATGGAGCGTCGGCCTTCGGACTGAAAGGTCCCAGGTTCGATTCCGGTCAAGGGCATGTACCTGGGTTGCGGGCACATCCCCAGTAGGAGATGTGCAGGAGGCAGCTGATCGATGTTTCTCTCTCATCGATGTTTCTAACTCTCTATCTCTCTCCCTTCCTGTCTGTAAAAAATCAATAAAATATATTTAAAAATAAAAATAAAAACTAGATTCTGTTATCTTCCTTTAATAAGTGTTAATTTTTGTTCTTGTAGGCAGCTGATTATCATGAATTTGTGTAGGCTTGCTTTTTTTACTTTATTAGGGCATAATTGTGAAAAGTCCAGATTTCTCCTAAGCTTTTTAGCTTGGTAAGACTCAACTTCAAATGCTATTTCTCCTGGGATTTTAGTCTCAGGGAAGGTCTACAGTAGGCAAGGGTTGGCAAACTATGGGCTGCAGGACACATACAGCCTGATCTATTTTTATAAACTTTCATCAGAACACAGCCACAGCCATTCATTTACATATCATCTATGGATTCTTTGATGCTACAATGGCAGAGTGGAATAGTTATTTATTAACACTTCTGTGATGGTGGAATTATTTCTCCTAGTAGTTATATCAGGTTTTGCTTTACATTTCATGTCTAGAATTTTGTATTCCCTGATGAATTGAACATTTTATATAATTTAGTCTCTAGTAATGCATTTTGTCTTAAGGCCTAGTTTTTAAAATATTAGTATGGCGATACCAACTTCCTTTTGCTTAGTACTCAACTGATATATCATACCCCCCACTCCTTTAAGTCTTTCTTCCAAAGGCAAGCATTGGCTCCCTCCTTACTTTTAAGTAATATGCATATACTACAATATTTTGGTTAGATTTTTAGACTTTTATCTATTGACTTCCGATGATGGTAAGGATTTAGCTAATATAATTATCCCACCAGCTTCCCACTCCCCATTCCAATATAGCATCATTTTTTACTAAGTAAGTATTTGGGGTTTTTTATTAATATACTACAATTTCACTTCCTTTTTTTAAAATTTCCTAAAATGGGTTATTGCCTTGTTTTGTGTTTTTTTAATTCACTGATAATTTCTGCACCTTCCTAGTATTCCTTTTTCTTGGATGGAGGCATGTTCTAAATAATGCCATTCTTCTTGCTTAGGATTAATATCTTTTTAGGCCTGCTGTACAACTGCCCGCTTGGGAGCCTGTCATCCTAGGAACCCTTTCTTCCTTCCCTCTAATTAGGATTCAGTTTGCTGCATGTCTTACTCTTTTTTTTCCTAAAAGGGAGCATGTTTGCCCAGTAACATTTTGGGGTTATAAAGGCAATAGTACTTCAACAACAGGTATGTCGGCCCTCAAAATTTCTGTCGTTTAAGCTATAGAGATCCAATCTAAACTAATTGTCCTATGGCAGTTGTGGGATCTCCCTTTATCTTCCTTTACCTTTGCCTCTCTCCTGTGTTAGATCCCATTTTCTGCAAGTACATCTTCCTTTTCTTTCTTTGGTTCATGCCTTCATTTTGAAAGCATGTGTGTTCTTCAGTAGCTTCTTTTTTTTTTTTAAATATATTTGATTGATTTTTCACAGAGAGGAAGGTAGATAGAGAGTTAGAAACATCGATGAGAGAGAAACATCGATCAGCTGCCTCCTGCACATCCCCCACCGGGAATGTGCCCACAACCAAGGTACATGCCCTTGACCGGAATCGAACCTGGGACCTTTCAGTCCGCAGGCCGACGCTCTATCCACTGAGCCAAACCGGCTTCGGCTTCAGTAGCTTCTTGAGCAAGCATATGTGGGAGGTGAAATTTTTGAGATTTTGCCAATCTGCGAAAGTGTTTTTCTACCCTCAAACTTACTTAATAGGTTAGCTGGGTATAGAATTCCAGGTGTCTTAGTTAAGGAATAGACCCAATGTTCTATAGTTCAAACAAGATAGTTTATTCCTCTCTTATATTGACAGTCTGGAGGAAGCAGGCAGGAAGACAAGGTCCCCCCAAGCACCCAGTTTCTTCCCACCATTCCCTAGGTTGATCCTAAGCTAAGTTACCAGCAACACACCTGAATTCAAGCCCACAGGGAGGGGGAAAAGAAGAGTTGGGAAGTAGGCAATTTCCTTTGAAATTGTGACAGTTGTGCACACACTGCTCATGTCCTACTGGTCTCTGTGGGGTGCAGTTATTTTCTAGTCCGTCTTTTATTTGGTGCACTGCCTTTTTAGGTCCCGGTTTTACACAGAGATCTAGATCCAATATCCATGTGAGGGCTCTGGTATTCATTTTCTATTTTCCCTATGGGAAGCCCAATAAACCCCAAAATTCCAGGCCCCAGGGATAGGCAGAGGCCCTAGCAGAACCATCAGCTTAAGTCCTAAGAGTTTCCCAACACCACTGCCTACAAAGCCCCAGGTTGTCTGGCCTCACCATCTTGCTGCCCACATCTCCCCTTCCCCCTCACACACCAGTCTCTAGCCCCTCTTGCCTCCTTGCTATTCCTAGAGGTCACCAAGCTCTTTGCAACCTCCTGGCCTTTTCACATGCCACTCCCTCTAGATACCCATTTGGGTAGCTCCCCCCCTTATTCTGCTCAGATGCCACCACCTCCAAGACTTTTGCTGACCACTGTGAGCAAAATAGCTCCTCATCACAACCCACTACCTACCTTTGACTTTCCCTTAGAGCACCTGTAACTACTGACATGGTATTGTGTGTTTTTTTAACTTATGGTCTAACTCTTCCACTAGCTATGAGCCTAGGTAGTTGACTTAGAAAGTAATTCCAGTGAATGGGATGGGGAAGGGACATGAACAGCAAAGGAGGAGAAGCCAATATCAGGATGTGCTATTGAGGAGACTATGAATGGTGGCTCAGAACCAGTCAGGGGAGAGAAGCCTGTATACTTCAGCTGTTGGCTCCTTTGGTCAAATGCGGCCCCCTATAGGTGTTTAATTCCCCTGCACTTTGGTTTGCACATGGATCAGAGAAGCTCTGGGGCAGGAAGCAAGGGGCTCAAGCCTGAGGCAAGATCATGTCAGGTTGTGCTTGGGCACACCTGGTGGAAGCCCTGGTGGAAGTGGTTGCTGCGGCAATGGCTACAGTGAGAGGTGGGGCCGAAGGACTATGATCAGGGACCCTAAATAAATATACCCTGCACCATTCTTTCCCAAGTACTTAGATGAGTGGTCACTACATAGTAAACAATCCATTAATATTTACTGAATGAATGAATGGTGCTGCAGTCTAGTGGAGAAAAGGCGCAAGGAGTGATGTGTTAAAATAAAGTAGGCTATAGGTTACAATGGAATAAGCACAGGTTATTGGGGCCCACAGTGGGAGCCTAGCTAGTCGGCGGGAGGAGAGAGAACTTTCTGGAAGAGATTGCCCTTAAGCTGAAATCTGGAAGATGAGGAGTTAATTGCACAGCTGACTTATAAAACACTCGCACATCTAAGTACAAATATCAGTGACAGAAATCAAGGGTAACATTTACCAAGCTCTTCCCATGGACCACACACTTTGCTGAGTGCTTGATGGGCAGTCATTTAACCCTATAACATGTGGACTTTTTGATCCTTTTCACCCAGGGGACACCTGAAGCTCAGAGAAGTCAAGTGACTTGCAGTGACAGGGATAAGATAACCATCACCCCCCATTTTACGCAGGGGTGACTGTGACTGAGGCTTAAAGCAGAGAAATGACATGCCCATGGTCACAGGAAGTAAATGGCAGAGCTGGGACTAAAACCCAGGTCTTCCAACTCCTGGGCCTGTGTTCCTGCTCCAGAGCTGGCCAGACAGAACAGGCCCCCAGGAAGAGTGAGGGAAGAGGAGGGTGAATTAAACATGGCCAGGCTGAGCTGGGTGGGCACTGCCTCCCCAGCTATTACCAGAAGAAGCTCAAGGAAGGTACCTCTAAGGCCCGAGAGATGGAATCGGCCATAGGCCGGCTGCGGTCCCGGAAGAAGCTTCCCTGCAACCTGCAGCAGGCAGACGGCTTGGAAGTCCCAGAACGAAGGGTCCTCAGGATCCTGAACCGGCTGAAGCAGCAGAGCTACGGTGAGGGCCCTGGGCATGGTGGGGGCTCTGCTCTCCTGCACATCTCGCCTCGTTCCCTGGGCCCCTACGAAGTCAGAACCAGGCTGACAGACATGGTTTCCCCCTTTTGGGTTAACTGTGTCAGTCAACGGGCTGACAGTCATTACCCCATCTCCAGCCCGCTGACCAGGCCTTCTACATGGACTCTTCCCAGTGCCTCAGCCCTGACCACAGGTTGGTCCCAAGAGCCAGGTGATCAGCGCTCCCAGCTCATCGACTGAGCACCCACTGGAGTCACTCACTGCGCTAGGTCCTTGGCAGATGCGTTAGAACTTAATCCCCATAATCACATATTTACCCCATTTTACAGAAAACTGAAACTGGGTAAGTTTAAGGAACTTGTCCAAGGCCCCACAGCCCAACATGTCAGAAAGGGGAGTTTATACCCAGCTCTGACTCCAAAACCTGTGCTCTTTTTACTGGGCAAGGCGGCCTCCCCATAATGGTAGGTACCATTAGATTTCTACTGAGTGCCAAGTGATGGGCTAGGAGCTTTCCAGAGTCTGAAGTATGCCTACCAGACTTTGCCAGGACCCATCACAAAAGACATCTGCTTTTTTCAGCTGTTATTAGCCCTTATGCAGTGTTCAGCATTTAGCTGAACGCTTTGCACATACTATCCCTTTAATCCTCATCATCCACGGTGAGGTGGGTACCACTATCATCTCCAGCCTACATAGAGGCCTGGAGAGGTAATTTGCCCAAACTCAGCCAGCTCATAATGTAGCAAAGTCAGGATCTCACCTGGGTCCGCCTGCCTCCCAAGGCTGGGTGTATTCTGAAACATCTCCCTCTCCTGTCTCCTCCTCCCTCGCCAGCTGTCAACCTGCAGAGCCCCTACGCCCAGGTGCCCTGTATCCCACTCTGCCCGAGGCTGGACAAGAAGACGGTAGGCCGGAAGCAGGGCGGCCAATACATGTTGGACCAGTGCACCCCCACCAACCCGAGCACTGATTTTCATAGCCTCTACTTCCAGTCAGGATCTCAAGGAAGCAGGTGGGTGCCCAAAGGGCAAGGGCCCCAGCCCAGGCCCATCCACCTCCTTCCTTACTAGGCCCTTGGCCTAAGCCAAGAATCCATCCTTCTAAGAAGTGATGCCGGGGAGACTGTTGCTCCGGGGAGGAAAAAAGAGAAGGGGGCGGGGCGGGGGGGGGGGAGCTCAG